TCATTCCCCTTTCTAGAAATCGGGCTGTTAACTTCACTGGTCATTTTGAGATTAAGCGAGGTAGTGCCTGTAATTCACTTAACACCACAGCTGGCAAAGGCAGGTGCTTAATCAGTGTCTGTGCCCTCCTTTCCTCTCTCCCTCCCCAGTGCCAGGCCTCAGCTCTACAAAGAGATCCTGGCTGTTACTAAGTTGAAGACATCTGTTGTCTTCCCCTTGAGTATTCTTGTCTCCAAAGTAAATATGTTCAGTTTAAGTCCACAAATTTACCTTGGGCTGCTTGTGTACTTACTTTCCACTTTGCTGCAAGAGAGGAGATTTCTCTCTGTCAGTGATCCCCTAATTGTTATGAAGTGGGGGCAGGGAACTATCCCCTTCCTCCCCTGGCACCCACCCTGTCTCCAAGAGCTGGGATTCCACACTCAGGCCCTCCCAGAGTTTTAAGTTGAGTGTTCATATGATGGGGTTCTGCCTGCATAAACAAATATTCTCTCATCCTTTTACTAGTCATCAAACTTTCTCTTCAAGAAATATCACACATTTTACAAATCCAAGGGGACAGGCCCCGTTAGATAAGAGTCTGCCAGCTCTGGCTCTGGCTGCATCTGTTGGCAGCTAGATTGGCGTGAGGAATCGGTGGTTTCCCCCAGAATGCACAAGGGTGGCCAGAATGGAACAGCTGCTCTGCACCTTGGCAGGGGTTGAGATAGCTGGTTTTGCAAATGAGTTTTTTCAAATAATGACCTTGTTCAATGGGGGATATTAAAGTTTCTTTATTTGTTTGTTTTTTAACCCTGTCCAACATTCTAGCAGCCTGAAATATTTGGAAGTATTAAACATTCCTCCTTAGTTTCAAGATGATAGTTGACAAACAGATAACCGTAAGGTATTGAAAACAGCAAAGATGTGAGGGGAAACGGAAGCCCTGGGGAAATTAATAAATAATGAGGAAAAGAAGTGAGTGTGGTCAGTGACAGATCCTCACAGTTTCATTACTTGGGCTCCTGCGGAGAGCCAGGAGAGGCAAGTAGGACTCCTGTAATTCTGTGAACTGTGGTTCCTAGTCTGTAAATGCTCTCAGATGCATATAACAGAGTATTTACATTCTCTGAGCAAAAGAAGCATTGTTCCAAAATTGTGAACAGTGGTCGAGTTTGGAAAGGTTGTGTGTAGTCTAATCTAATCACTAGCTTGGTCAACCTCCTTTGCACTCCCTCCTCAGGAGGACTCACTGCCCAGTGTGTCCTGTAGTTCTCAGTCTGTGTCACCCTGAGCCCTCATGTCCCATGGAGATTGTTCTGGGGAAGCTGGGTGGGAGCAAGCAGGTGGGCTCCCAGGCCTCCTCCACCTGCTTCCTTGAGAGCAGCCCCTCACTTGTCTGCTGAGTATGTCAGAAAACCATGGAAGATTTTGTTTGGCTTCTTCTGCTCCAAAAAAGAAGCTTCAAAATCAATGGTGCCATGGTGTTTGCATCCATTTGCAAGTGGTTTTTTTCTACTCAATGGTATGCTTTTGAAATATAACCATGTTAATATATGTAGATAGAGTTCAGTCCTTGTGCACAAACCACAGTGTATTCGTTCCCCTGCTGATGGATATTTAAATGATCCCCCATTTTTCACCATCTCCAGTAATTCTTCATTGGAGTTGAGGACATTTTCCATATATGCAATGGACGGTGTACTCTAAGCTGGATGAGAAGGAAGGGACAGCAGGGGCCAGGCAGATGGCTGGTGAGAACATGGGGGAAGTGGAGTAGGGAACTAGGAGCTACATGGATGGAATAAAGCAAGGTCCCCCCAACCTTCAAAGCAGGTGTGTGAGCTGGAGGACCCAGAGGTAGCACAGAGTAAGCAAAGATAAGGCACGGAATGTGACCATGGGAATGGGCAGCTGAGAGTAGAGAAGAAAATGAGTCTGTCAAAAACCTGAGAGGCCAAGGTGTTAGCTGGGTCATTTGCTGGGCATTCTCCTTTGTGCCTTCAGCTCCACCCTGAGTCCCTCTCAGCCCTGCTCTGTGCCCCAGAGGGTGGCCTGTAAGTACTGTCTCAGTGCCGGTGCCCTTACCCTTGGCCTCCGACTGAGAGACACGCAGCCTGGACGAGGAAGGAGTGGAGACAGGGCATCATCCCCAGCCCTCCCAGCAAGGTCCCTGCAGGTGGGCTGTGACCCTCTACTGCAAGGCCCTGCTCCTTTCCCTGTGATTCGTCCTTCCAGTTACAGCAAATGCTCCCTCCCTTACCCTGCCTTGCCTCAGGGGCCTACATGCCCATCTTGAGTTTCTTTTGTGCCAAGAATCATTCTTTTGATTCTTTTCCTCTATTAACACGTTCACATGTGCCATCTCTTTCCTGCCAATCTCATGGATAGTGAAATCCTTGAAAATGATGACAGGAGTAGGGTAGGGTAGGGAGAAAGTTGTTGAGTCGGGTGCTAAAACCCAGTGAGGGGCAGTGTCTGTAAGTCTACATAAAATGAAACTATTTTACATTTTGTAACTATCCTTTAAAACTGAAATCCATGCCTAATTTTTTTCCTGAATTGCTAGTGTTAGCACAATATCTGACATGTAGAAAGCATTTTAAAATGAAAATAAATTGAATAGGACTGAATTAAATTAAACTGAATTGAACTGAATTTCACTGAATAAATGAGATGCTAATTTTGCACATTTGAAACATCATGGGTGACACCCCCCCTTCTAGGTTTTTAAAAGCTTCATGAACATCAAATAATAAATTAGATCAGGGATTGAATTTCTGAGATGAATAATAAATGTTTGCTTATATTAGCATCTCATGCAGAAAAATGTTGAGGTCATGACATTTGGGGATAAATTCAGATTCCCTTAAGCTTTCAGGACCTGCTTTCTTGACATTGTGAGCAATTTTGCTCTTGGAAAACAGCTTGCTTTCTATCTCCAAGGCAAAAAGCAACTTACAGTACTTCCAGAATATGTAATTATTCATTTGAAAATAATTTTGATAGACATCTATCTATTCTATTTTCTTGAATTATAGTACTAAGTAGAAAGAAACAAAATAGAAAATCTTTTTTGATTTTGAGTTTTAATCAGTCTAAAATACTGTGTGTTAGGTCTTTGTACAATAGGAGTTAAACCTAATCACACAATGATTATTCTTCTCAAATAGCAGATTTTAGTGATAATTAACCAAGGGGAAAACACAAAGTAAACATGGCTCAACTTGCATTTCATGGGAAGTGTTTCCTTTCTTTTTTCCTTTCTCTGAACACTGAGCATGTTGTAGTGTGATGCTAACCCTGTGGCTCCCGCTGTCTGTTCGTACGTGCACTTGCATTTCAGACGGCCCGCTATTTTAAAAGCATTTCAAGTCAGAGCTTGAGATCTGGCCTTTCATGCCAAATCAATGACAAGGACTAATTTGGTCTTGCTGAAATCATTTATTCAACTCTTCATGTACTATAATAAGAAAAGTAGTTTTAAAGCAAAGGATATTGTTAACGTTTATGAAGGAGAAATTCTAACTGTTCGAATACAGCAATAAAAGTTCTTACCAGCAATCTTGATTTGGGGTAGCCCCTATCACAAAAAGTCTAGAGCTAGTAGATCAGCAGATTTTAACATGGGACAAATAAAGGGACAGTCTAGAGTCAAAGATGATAGCTCCATCCTGATTACAACCTCAGAAATGTGTTCAGCTGGTCATCAGAGGAGCAAGAACTGCTTGGTCCAGGCTAGGATGCTCGACTGGGACGACTTCATCTCCTATGCCAGCTTCCATGGATGAGTCCATAGCTCTTGGACCCTGGGGAGGCCCTGGGGAGTGTGCTGGCATCAATTAGTGATGTCTGCCCCCGCAGGCTAATGTGGGGGAATGGCAACATTCAGGATTTGGTAGAAAAAGCAGAGTTTGAAGTCAGTGTCAAGGTCAGACTCTTATCTCCATCTCTTGTTAGCTGTGATATCTCAGGCAAGCCACCCATTCAGCAATCTCAGTTTTCTCATCTGTCAAATGAAGATAATAAAAATTACCAAGAAAATTAAAATCAGTATCACAAAAAAGAATTAAAGTGCAGCTTAATTCTTAGTTGTTGCTAGTATGTTTTGCCTATCACAATCTAGTGTTTCCCTCCTTTAAACTTGTGGTATTTTATCATTTCTGTTACTCTTTTGGCAATTAATTGCCAACTACCTACCAACTCACGTTAGTGTGTTGTATTCCTTCACCACATCTTACCTCTCTGTGCTGCCTATGCTGTCCAGCCCGTGCCTCTCCCCAGTAGGCAAGCCGTGTCTATTTATTGGAGGAATGTGAGCATATTACTAATAGCATTTTTAAAACTCAAACGTTGACAGAGAGATGAGTAGTAACTTTATCTTTTTATTTGAAAGGACATGTTTTTATTTTATTTGAAAGGATTATTATTATTATTATTTTATGTTCATAAGATCATACTTTTTTGTTTGTTTGTTTAAATGGACTTTATTTTCAAGGAACCCCGTGCTCAGTGAGGGCCATGGGCCAGTTTGCAGAGGGTGCAGGCAAATGCTCCTGGGGGGTGAGGCACGAGGAAGGGGACTGTATTTCTGTGGGCAAGGCTGCTGACACCTGTGGGTGGGTCCCACTTTCGGGGCTGACCAGTAGGCAGGGGACTGGGCTTGGCCACTTCCTCTGCACAGCATTGACACTTTTTATCCATCTCCTTACTTCTCAAAACTTCCTCCTCCCCTTTGCTGACACTGAACTCAAAGGATCATAAACTTTTAAATGATTCACTTAGTGACAGGCCCTGGCCATAGCATCGAGCCATCTGGATTCAGTGTCCAGTGTTCTCGCCACTATTCAGTGCTTTTAAAAGCCAGCTGTCCCGAGAGTTAATTACACTTCCACATAAATCATTTCTTCCAGCTTGCTCAAAGGTTCCTTGGCTTTCTGCTTATCGCTGCAAGGACACTGACTTCCTGGTTGCTGCTGCCACACATGTTAACAACATGTTTCTTATTTCTGTGGTGACAGGCACATCTCATCGTCCTGAGTAGCAGCTCCTCTCAAGAGGAGGCAGCAGACTCCGCACACTTTGTTGCACGTGCTGCCCTCGCTTCTGGGACACCCGAGCACCACGGTGAGAACAAGCCTTCTCTCCTCCTGTCCCCCTGGGTCTGCAAACTAGCTGCCTTCTGGATAGGTAAACAGGTGGACAGAGCTGTGACACAGGCCCTCCAGAGAGCCTTCCTTGTTTTATCTGATCATCTATAGTTACATTACTCTGCTGATTTCCCCAGCGTCCTTTGGTTCTAGGCCCCCAGCCTTCCTCTAATCTTTGACTCTTAAATACAGCTAATCTTCATCCAAACATAGCTATTACGAGGCCCAGAGAATCTGTACTGGGCTTACAGGGAAATCTGCTCTGCTTTCAAAGGTGATCTATTTTTAAAGATTGTTGTGATGCTACTGTGGCAACAGCCCTGGCCTGTGGGCAAGCTGGCTGCAGACTCTCTCAGGGCTGAGCTTTCAATCAGGATGAACTTACAGCTTCAGGAGTCCAGAAGGAAGTTGCCATTTATGTCTCATAAGGTTTTTCTTATCCCCACATAATAGGTAGAGCAGCGAGCTCCAGGGATTCTTTAATCCACCATCCTGACTCAGAGCATACAGAGCATACGATGTGCTTCTGTGGACAGCAAACACATATTAGTGATTTTTTTTTTTTTTGGTCAGAATATTCAGAAATGTAGTATAATTCTTAAAGAAGACCTAAGGGTGTATTCTACAATATCAGATAAAAATAATTATGTATTAAGTAAAATAAGGTCCAATATACCTGAAAGCATAAAATCAGTGTCTGGAAGGCTTGGGGCTGGTTCAGGAAGCAGGAATCAGGCTGAGACGAGGAGGCCAACACGGGGCAGAGGATGAAGGGAAAGCCTCTCTGAGCAGTCTGGTCTGAAAAGATCCACAGGCCGGAAGGGGACCTCCAATCCACAGGGGAGCTGATGAAGGGGGTACCACTGTTCCTCCATCTGTCCATCCCACCTTGCACATCTCTCATTCTGGCCTCCCTGAGCTTGAAGCACCTTCTCAGAACTGGAGAAACCTGCCTGGGGATGGAAAGAGGAGGCAAGTGACCTTTCTGGTCCTCCCTCCCTAGAACATTCTAACATAACAATCAGGTTCCCCTTCAAAACCTTCAAAGAGTGAACCAACTTTGACTAACTTTTTGGTGCCCCAAATTCACTTAATAAGAGGAAAGAACCTTCCATTTCATAGCTATTAATAAAATACTTAAAATGCAAATACAGGTTTGTTTGATGGAAACCCCTAGAATAGTGAGAGTCTGAATGTCTACAAGAACCAAGCAAGCAACCTGAATGAAGTGGTGAAACCAGCAGCAGCAGCAGCACAATTCCAAGTGGCGGCTCACTGCCGGCTGCAGTGTAAGAGACGACGCAGAGTGGTGGGGACTGCGGGCAAACTAGAGAGTCCCAGCCCCTGGTCCTTAGCTCTGGCCCATTTCAGCCATGTGGAAGGTAGATTTATATTGGCAGATACTTCTGCTTTTTCAAAAGAAGGCAGAAATTTGGATTTTTATGTGAAATCTCCAATTTTTAATTGATGGTAACTAACTCAAATATCTCCTCTGAGTGAGTCAAAACATGCGTGACAATTGGAACCACGACTTCTGACCTGGAAAGCAGGAGTGTGAATAGGTGGTTGTCGGATCCTTCCTGTTTTTCTCGGGGGGCTCATGGGTTAAGACAACTGGAGAGTTCTGAGCATTTGACCTGGTGGGGTGTAAGGAGGAAGGGTCTATTCCTGTGCAAATACCGAACAGAGAGAGGAGAATAAGGCCAAAAGACCATCTTTTTGCCTAGAGGGGATTCCGGTTTCCAGCACCTGACCTAGTGTCAGTGCACTCACCTGTTGAAGATATGAATTGGGTAGGGACCGATAGAAATTGTGCCCGAAAATGCTTTTGTCCTGTAGCTGCAAAGTTAGGCCACTCTGCTTGGCACGATTTATAGAATCAGAGATAATGCAATTTGAAGTATATATTTTTTAAAAATGTTCCAGCCTAAATATAGTACTGGTATTGCCTCCCCTGTTGATTGAGAATGATAACAATATGTATTTGATACAATGACAACAGCAGCATCAGTTGAGCACCTCTTGTATGCAGGTGCAACTATGCCCACAAACATGCTCATTTAATCCTTTTAACGACCCTCGGAGACAGGACATGGACTCTCATTTTATAGATGAGCTCACACAGCCAGCTCTTCCTAGCAGGGAGTTCCATCAATCTAGACAACCTTCTTTCTACTCATTGCTCTACCCCAAAAGGACAAAAGTCCCTATCAGTCAGTAGGATGCTCCTAGACACGCTTCTTGGATTCAGCGTCTACCAACCAGAAGCACTTGAAACATCCATCACCTTGATGCTGTTCAGAAGAAAGTTTACCAAAACCTTGAAGGGGAGTAAATGCTACGTGAGCAGACTGGGCAGAGAAGCAGGGGATAGAAATAGATGCTGATTATCCAGCAGCAACATGAAGCCCTGGAACAGGTGCAGAATGGAGCACAAGCCTCATCCCTAAGGCCTCAAACAAATCACCTAAAGGAGCAAGTCAGAAACAAGTAAAAAAACAAGAAGAAACCTCAAACTGTTCCTACCTAGTTTGAAAACTGCTGCTATCAGAATCCTTGTTCCCTTAGGAGCAAATGTGGGAAAGGCTGGAAAATGAGCCCACCAGGCCAGCGCGTGTTGCATGTGGGGAATCGGCTTCCCTCTAGAAGCGGAAATGAGACAGGCACCACCTAGCCAGGGGTGCAGTGGAAGCCTGGGGCAGGGAATTCCCATTGTCTTTTATGTCATCTCTCTGCTGGCCCCTCGTGTGGCTGATGCCCCCACAGCAGGAATGAGAAAAACTCACTCAGGACTGAGGTGTCTCCAGGCCTCTGCTGCCTCCAGCAGGGGGAAGTGAAAGGGGGCAACTTGGAACTTATCTTTGCCTAACAGCCAAGTGGAGACCAGATCCCTCAGACCTCTCACCAACGTGGAACTTTCTGACCTGGTCTTTGAGCATTTCTGGTTCAGAAGTCCTGGCCAGATCCCATGGTGCAAGTCTGCATGTTCCACTGGGTGCTGACGGAGGTTCTCAGCTCTGCTCTCCAGACCTGTCTGTGCTGCGTACAAAGACCTTTGGAGGTTTGCTTTGGGACTGTTTTTTTTTTTTTAAGAAAAGAATCTTTAATGAGAAACATTTCTCATTTGAGGATTCTTGATGGCCAGCTTGTGTCCTTGCTGCATGCCCATTGAAGGCATTGCCCTGTAACTAACAAAACACTACTGGCCAAGAAGCAAGCGTTGCAGGCTCCATGCTCAAGCCAATCCCTTTGCTCTGTGCCTTCCCTGCATTCCTTATGCAGACAAAACTGCCGTAGAAGTCATGAAGGACTGTGATTGCATAAAGATTCCCAATTCAGGCTCCTGGAATGTCACTAACCTGGGCCTGGCCAGCTTCCCAGCACAGCCATCGACAAACTTGGTATTAACGCTCTCCCAACCCTGCTAAATGTTCAGGGCCTTGGCTTTGTGTTTATAACTCTTCTCCTAGAAGTTATTAAAATGAAATGGTTTGAAGCCAAGTACATTTCAGTATAAACCTTTGAGAGGCAGAGCCCACTGAGTGCAGGCGGCCTTGTTTGGAAGTGGCCCCAGCTGCAAGCTGGGCTCCAGCAGGCCAGGGAGTTCTGCAGGGTCCAGTGACAGCAGACAGAATGGGCTAGGGACAGAGGCCGAGATCCCTGACTAAGTGGATTCCCAAGATCTAATTCCCTATACGCAAATATGTGTATCTCCCCAGCCAGCACTGGTCCTAGCTTCCCCACATTTTCCACAGTAGACATGAAAAATGTCATGTATCTGAAGCTGGGTACTGTACCTCCTTTTTATCTTACACAATCCTCCCTTTTGTCAAGTCTTCCCCGCATGGCCTGCCTTCTCGGCTTGCCCCATGCTGGGCCCTATCCTATGCCCTGCTCACTGGGTTACTGATGCTCCTTGAGCCCCATGGGACCCAGAGAGACTGGAAGTCAGGAAGCCCCTGGAGGACACAGGTGCACAGATCCTGTGGGCCCCTGCCAGGTAACATGGTCACCTAGGAATAGCCACAATCAGGTATCCTTCACCTTCCCGTGCCCTCCTTAGCTGCCCCTGTTGCCTACCTCGCCCCACCTCCAGCCTGAGCCTCCAGGGTGGGGCTTGTGGCACAGTCCTGCTGGTGGAGCCACTGCTGGCCATGCCCTGCCCGCCTGTCACCCTTCAGCCTCACCACCCCCTGCAGCCCTGCATGCTCTGAGAGAACCTTCCTCAGTCCCTTCTCAAGGCTGTTTCTTATTATTAAATGCCCACCCAAACTGAGCGTGGCTGCCTCTGAGCTCCCCAAGCAGCACCTGTCTGCATCCGGGCCTGCTCTGTGCCCCACAGGGCGTGTGTGAAAGGGGAAGTGAGAGGGCGGTGAGGTGAGGCCCAGAGAAGGAAGGGGACACCTCTTATTCTGTTTCCACTAGCGTTAGGAGGATCCCCTCTCAGAAACTCCTGGAAGTCACCTTAGAGTCATCACTTCTAGAGGACTGGGGTCCAGGATCACTCAGCATGTTAGAGGCAAAGCAAGGCCCACTTACCACACTCTAGAACCGGGGAGGTAGGCGTGCCTGTCCCCAGGGCTCTGAGGGTGCAGGGCATTGAGAAGCCCTGTGGGACATGTGGGTGGGGGCTGCAGGGGTTGGCAGCCCTCGGAGCCAGCAGAAGAGGAGCCAGGAGGCCTGTTCCTCACCCGAGTGCTGTTGGTCCCTCTTCCCAGAGGGACAAGCTGGGGCAGAGCTGGAACCTTACCAGGCTTTGCTTGCCAGCTGCCTTCTCTGTGCCTGAGAGCAAAGCCTGTGGCTTCTTTGCTTCTCTCCTAGGGAGAATGAAGTGCATGAGCCCTATGATGGCCACTCTCATAAGGTTCAAGTTTTTCACTTTTGTGCTAGCTAATGATTTGTGTTCAGAACTTCTCAGAAAAGCCTATGTTATTTATACTCCCACGTGGCTTCAACAAAAATTTTTTTTTGAAACAG